TTTTTTTAATAATGTTATTAAAAGTTTTTCAAAGGATACAAACTAATACAAACAAATAAGAAACAGAAAAGAAAAAGAAAGAAATTAAAGAGCTAAAAGTGCAAGAAAAGAAACAAAAGGAAAAGAAAAATGGAAAAGAAAGAAAAAAGATACAAAGCAGTGGCTTCCAATCTCCTTTACAGCAGTTATAAGTACAATTATAAATTTACCTCTTGCTCTATGGTTACAACATAACTCTCTTCTTTCTATAATCTATTCTGTCTAATCATCAAAACCATAAATCGTAAGTTCATTTTTTTTCTTGCTCTATGGTTACAACATAACTCTCTTCTTTCTATAATCTATTCTGTCTAATCATCAAAACCATAAATCGTAAGTTCATTTTTTTCTGTTTTCCACGAAAGGCCCTTAAGGAAGGGGTTCTGTTCTGCTGACTACGGGTCCTGCGCTGGGTCACATCTTCCTCCTCCTCCCACCCACCCGAAATACTGCTTCTCCATCAGAGGCCATTTTCCTTCCAGTGCTGTGGGGAGGCCATGCCGTATGTTTGCAACTTTCTGTATCCAGTGCACGCCCACAGCTCTGCACCATCCAACTTTTAGTGTCGGGGTAGCTTGAGCAAACCTTTGACGTATTCCTGGTCACAGTTAGCCCCTTTCCCAGGACTTGGTGGGAAAGGTCGCTTGTCCTCTTAGCTCTACATATATTCAAGAATCGGAGTTCAGAAGGATCCAGAGGTGGGGGAAAGACACCTTGATTCCATCCCTAATTTACCACCCTAAAAATGTGAACATCAGAAGTTGCATTCTTGCAATTAACCCATTTTCTGGGGTTTCACAATCCATTAAACCATAAACAACAAGTTAGAATTTGCGCAATTTACTACATGAATCAAATCTAAGGGAGATTAACACTAATCAGGCTTAGCATGTCAATTGAGTGCAGCTGGTAGGGCTTTTCCTGCATAAGCATGTGGTGCGAACTCAGCCAGTGCAATACTATTATTGGCAAGCAGCTTGTGACACCAGAGAATGGGAGAAAAAGCCAAGATTTAAAGTATGGGGCATGCCAATACGGGGAATCAGGGCCCCAGCCTGGGCAGAGAGTGACCTTTCTCAGAACAGCCAGAACTGCTTGCATCTGCAGTCAGGCATCCTTTCCACGCAGGGGGAGCTGTTCTCTTCCAGAGAGAGCATGGCATTCCCTGGGGCAATCTTGGGCACTCTAAGACTACCCCCCAGGCCTGATCCTTCAGTGTCATCCTGACTTGCCAGCCCAGGCAGGTATTTCACCCTCAAGCTGGGGGTCAGTAAATTGGAAAGCCCAGCCCACAGTCCAGCCTCATCGGCATGGGAGGCGCCGCCGCTGCTGCTGCTGCTGCTGCTGCTGCTCCTTCCCTGGATCAGAGGACAACCAGAAAGAGAAGGGGGGTACAGAAAAGGCTGGGCGCCCTGCCTGCCTGCCTTTCCTCGCCCCCTTTCTTACCCCTCCAGCAAAAAGCGCCTGCAGCACGGACAATCACAGTGGCCCTGCTTGGCGCATGGACACAGGACAGCCAGAAGGGAGAGGGCAAAGATGCGGGTGAAACCGTCTGCCGGTGGCCAGGATCCCCTTGTACTGCAGTGAGATGGTGCAAAAAGGGAGCCTTCAGGCAACGCTAGTGCCCCCCAGCTGGGCCTGTTAAGTGAACTGGGCACTGCGATTGCCTCTTAAGCCAGAAGGAGATATTCTCTGGGCCAGCCGAAAGACTGGGCTGAGAGGAGCAAGGTATCCTTCAGCAGGGAGATGGAAGGCGTTACATCCAGGGAAGGAAAATATGGAGCTCACGTCCAAGTTGGGGGACTCCTGGCTTGGGAACGCTGCGCCTGAGAAGGACTCGGGTGTGGTCACTGACAACAAGCTGAACGTGAACCAGCAGTGTGAGACAGCTGCTAGAAGGGCTAACGCAGTTTTGGGCTGCATCTTGTACAAAAGAAGCAAAGTAACAGTTGCTCTCTTCTCAACACTGGGAAGACCACCTCTGGAGTCCTGGGCACAGTCCTGGGCACCACGTCTCCGGAAGGCTGTTGACTGCTCAGAGCAGGTCAAGAGGAGGACAACAGATGATGTGGGGACTTGAGGGCGGGCTGAAGGGACGCGGGATACATTCAGTCTGGAGAAATGACTCGGTAGCTGTGTTCAAGTACATAAAGAGAAGCTGCAGGGAAGGTGGTCAACAGCTACTTCCAGGACCAGAAATGACAGGTATGAGTTGCAAGACCTGGATTTCATTAAATGCAGGGAAAAACTTCCTGCACTTGGCAGGCTCTCCATCTCCCGAGGTTGGTAAGAGGAGGCTGGACAGGCACCTCTCATGGAGGGTTTCACGGGTTTCCTTCCGTACAGAGGCCAGCTGATCCATGTGGTCCCTTCCCACGCCGCAGTTCTGCTTCAAAGGCTTCGACAGCCTGGCATCCTGCTGCCCGTGAGGTGAGGGCAGGGTCCACTCTGAGCAGCAGCAGCAGCAAGAACAGTGTTCCTATATTCTTGCGGGGGGGCAGCCTTTAAAAGCCAGTGAAGCTCTGAAGGGGACCCTCAGTAGCTATGTGATCTGGGGGGTGGGAAAGGCCTTAAGGGACATCCCCCTCCCCTCCCCTTTCCAGCCCCGGGCCTGCCTGTGCCTTGCCGAGCCTGGATGTGGGGCCCAAGACAATCTGCAGTCTGTCTGCTGGGGCAGCTG